CATATTTTTCCTATTTTAATTTTTGTTTTGAAAGTATGGTAGTAAAATGTAAAATGTACAAACAATCACATAAAAAATATACACTTTAAAAAAAAAACAAACAAACAAAAGTAGGCCATCGAATTAGGATATTTAGGCTATCCATCTAATAGAAGCTTACCAAAATCTTATTAAGAGTAGAAGTTAAATCTTACTGTAGTTGGCACACTCGTTTTATGCGTATTTGGCGCCACCTATTGTTGTGGGTGTATTATTAACATGTCAAAGTCTAGACCCTGAATATAAGACGACCACGTTTTTTCAGATGTATTTCCAAGAAAAAAACGTCATCTTATATTCGGGTCAATACGGTATCTTTTGTTTTATTATAATAATGTGATTAGGGCTATGACTAAATATTTTTTTTATAATCAATTAATTTGTTAATTATGTCTTCAATTAATCAGATTTTTTTTTTTTTAAAAAGCCAAATTTACTTATTTACAAAAAAAAAATTTTTATTTTTATTTTATAATATATATAAATAAATATATATAAATAAATACACATAAATATACATAAATATACACACATACATGTATATATTAAGGAAAAATGTTAGGTACAATATTTATATTTATATATAATATAAATTATATACAAGTATAAATATATATACACACAATATATATATTTTTTAAATATACACATATTTGTATTTATATATATATATACACATAATAAATATACACAGTACACGCATAGTATGTGAACAAACTTATTTTGAATGCGATTCAGGATTAATCGTTTTGCAGCCCTAATAAAAACTACAACAGTATCTTAATGTTGCTGAAATAACACTGGCTCTGGTGCCACAATAAGATGTGATGTCTGTGTTTACTGACAGCATGAATAGGACAGATCAAAAGTCATTGATACCATTTATTTGTTTTACCACTGCAGCTACAGGTCCTTAATCACTTGCTGCTGTTTAGATGGCAATAAAACATTGCTCCTGTGACTTTCCTACAAAACCATTACACAGAAATAAGGTACACAACAATATGTTACAATAGAACAGATGATAAATTATATTATACAGTCATAATGCCAACAATTGTGCTCTGTGCTCCTTTAGTGAAGTTTACCAGATGAATGGAAATACTCACATGACTTTCTAACATTTGCAGATAAGGATCCAATCGTGAGATGTAATTTATGTTCTGAGATAAATCATGTCTCAAATGCATCAAAGATTACACATATCTGTCTAAGCACCTGACAGGGCTTGATATAAAGCATGTCTCATCACGTTTATATCATGCACTTTTCCTGTAGCAGCTCACTTTTCTGTTTTCCAGATGCGTTTTGTCCATTGAAATGCTTATTCACTACTTTAAAGTAACATGACAGACTGAGATTTTCTGTGCACAGTGCGCAAATGTGATAATCACTGTTATGGTGTCTTCTTACCTGCCACTCATCAGGAAACCTGTGACCAAGGCGACGAGGATGATGGCCACAGTGACCGCGACAGCGATGATGGGCACCTGACCCTGATCACTGGAGGCCGCTACTGCTGGAACACAGACACAAGAGAGAGACAAGAGCACGGTTTGAGAGCAGCTTTGTGCCATTTCATCACAATCACTACCTTGATTCCTGCTAAATTCACTTTAACTGTACTGTGAAATATCAATTATTACACACAGCCAACACTGTGTGGCATATTAACTATGACTTTTGCCTCAATAAACTCCTAATTTGCTGCTTATTAATAGTTAGTAAGGAAGTGGTTAAGTTTAGGTATGGTGCAGGATTAAGGGATCTAATATATGGTCATGCAGAATAAGCCATCAATACGGCCAATATGCTAGTAATATGCAACTGGTTAAGAGTTGCTCAAATATGAATTAAATGAAACATAAAAACCCGTGTTAGAGCAGCAGCATTCTCCCTAATGTTGTCCCAACTAGTCAAACACAGTTGTCTGAACAAAGAATTTTAAATTGAACAATATTGGTGAAATGGGTGTGTGAGTTCCCAGCATGCACTGCGATATGAATAATGCTGTTAATGTTATTGGATTATTGTTTCACTGTTTGCTGACTGTTGTTGATTTTTTTTTTTTTTGTTATTCATTGCATTGAGAGCTCATCCTTTTATATGCTCTTTTTATGTGCATCAACAATAGAAGTTTGTTGCATCCTATATGTCTTTGCTTTGTAGGTGACATTCTGTGCATAAAATAACTGTAATAATCAATAATCAAAGTCACAAGCATAGCATCACATATAGCATTTTCTGCATATTTGAACACTGTATAATAGTGACTATATGATTTTGCGATCCATCTTTTCATACTGGTGACAACTGATGGACTCATACATCTACCTACAAATATTATAAAGGGTAAAAACATCCACTGATGCTCAACAAAGTAAATAAATATGCAGAAAATGGCAGATGGAAAAATGCAAGCAAGATAAAGTTCACATACGTTTTTCACAGCACTATGAATGGAACGTGTTTATTAAAGACATGAAAGATTATAATTGTTTGTTTGTTGTTAGCTTAAGCACATTCTGTTTGTTTATACTTGCGACTTTGATGAAGATCAGATGATTTTTTTATAACCAATCAATGTAGAAAACCAACCAATCCCAATGGGTTCACATACATATTCTTGCCACTGAACATATATCAGAATCAGTTCATTGTGTTATGAACTGAACATTTGCTAAACAAGAAATTCATAATTGCCTTAATGAATTGGTTGAATGAGGCATTTTGCATTTAGTGAACAAAAACATTGAAATTGACCATTTTTTAAAGACAATAGCGGAGAGAACTTAAAAAAAAAATCTGAAAGCATCAAATTCCCTTTTTGCAATACATACATTTTTATTTTACAATGACTTTGAATGTGGCTCATCCATTTCAATCTTATTTTATTTTTGGTTTGTTTGTTTGTTTTATGTTTCACTTACAGTAAGGGCTTGTTTCAAACTCAAAGCGGCGACTGAACCCTCCGTAGCCTGCAGAGGTGCGTGCTCTAATTTGAAAGATGTACGCTGAGGAAGGTTTAAGGCCATCCACCAAAACATCCGTCTCCTTTGACTTTATGATGGTGTAGCTTGTTTCCTGATCCTACAGAACCACCAGAAGAAAAGAGAAGACAAAAACGGTCAGAGAGGGAGAAAACGAGGGATAAAGGCCTCACATGTCATGAGAGAACGGCAAAGTGTGTGTGTGTGTTGTGGCCAGTAGTGAGGATCGGTTTCTTCATTGGCTTTTTTTTAAAGCCCTGTGTTAAGTGCTCCGTCCATTAGCTTTCATATGAGTGGCTGTGGGTCATCATAGCTTTTTTCGTATTCTAAGTGCATCGTATCAGTGTTTCACAGAACAGTCCAAAACACTGAGGTCATGAGGAGCTGAGGCTCGTTTTCAGCCGTATTCTGTCTTTAAATGGCTCAACAAAGCAAGCTGCAAATGCTGCAAGGTGAAGAGCAATCAGAGAGGGCGATCGGAGAGCAGATTAAGTTTCGGGCTTTGTGAGGGTTGTCGCCAGTGGGGTGGTCGACTGAGACGCCCAACGACAACCCTGCTGCTGGTAACGTCACTTCATTAGAGGATGAATCCTGTCATCATTTACTCGAACTCATGGTGGTGCACTGACTGAGCATGACTTTCTGTCTTCTGGAGTTATTTTGAATCATATACTGGTTGCTCTTTTCTATGCATTTACAATGACTGTGGACTAGAGAGTTCAAGCTTGAAAAAGGACACCAAAGGCCAGATTTACTAACATTTTGCACCAGCACTAACCCTCTTCTGGTGTTAAACTACTGTCAGGATTTAGTAAAGACAAGCAAAGATTTTACAGAGGTTGTGTTGCAAAAGACACAGACTTGGCAGATTCGGAAGGATTGTCTGCGAAACACAAATTTCATTAAAGTCCTTTAGGAAAACTGGCTGAAAGCAATGTAATACTATCAGAACGTTATCATAAACATAGTCTATACGACTTCTCGAAATCGTCTGATGGCAAAAACCGCTTTGTATGTAACCAAATTTAAGTTGTTATCCGTTGATTTTAATCTCTAGTGAGCGGTTAAATGCTGGAACTGGATCAATGAATCACTTGAGGATCAGAAGAACGAAACATTCAGACTTGCATTCAAAATATCCAAATTAAATAATGATTTGTTGATAAATTAGATACTTCTGTAAGCAAATCTCAGATTTTGTTCCCAATCACTGTAACTGAAATGGAAAAGAACAGCCAGTACATTATTAGAGCATGGTGGCCAAAATATAGAAGAAAGATGAAGAAGGGGATAGTCTACACTTTTTCTAATCAAATGTAAGCAAATTAGTGACACTGACAATGCCAACTGACAAGATCAGATTTCTGGACCATTTAGTTCTCGAATGAGGCTGTAAAACATGATCACTGGATTTGCATCATGTTGGGTCGAGGGCTTCTGTCAAAATGTAAATAAATAAATAAATAAGCAAACTTTTAAATAAACATTGCATATAAATAAATGTATATAAATAAATAAGCATTTAACGAAGTAGTCAAAATTTATAAATAAATAAATAAAGCATCCTTTATAGAAGTATTCAAAATATATACAAATAAATAAATAAAAGCTTTTAAAGAAGCACTGTATATAAATAAATAAATGCATATAAACAAATAAATATATAAGCCTTTCAGAAGTATTCAAAATGTAAATGAATAAATACATAAAGCTTATAAAGAAGCATTGTATATAAATAAATAAATGTATATAAACAGATAAATATATAAGCTTTTAAAGAAGTATTCAAAATGTAAATAAAGAAATAAATGAATGTTTCAGTTGGACATTCATCTAACATTTTTTTAAATGTTTCGGAACGTTCAAAAGTAACATTCCAATAACGTTTGAAATTGACATTTCTAAAGCTTAAATTGGACACTTTAAATGTTCAAAAATAACATTTTCATAACTTAATGAGAAATGTTCTTGGTATATACTCTTGTCAGCTGGGATTAAGGGCTTTTTAAGATTTCTAAAAAAGAAACTACAAATGCAAATGAAGTGCGTTCTGAGCGTGTTTTACCAGTCTGAAGGAGCGCAGGACAGACAGACCCTCCACGTTGGACAAACCCAGCTCCATGAGACTCAGACTCACGATCAGACTGTCAAAGATGTTCCAGCCCTGCTGAAAGTAATAATACGGATCCAGAGCGATGATCTTCAGGACCATCTCCGCTGTGAAGATGCCTGTGAACACCTGAGAAGAACAGCAGCAGATTTACATTCATGCATCTGACAGACGCTTTTATCCAAAGTGACTTGCATTAAATATCCATTTCAGTGCAATCCCCAGGGAATCAAATACAATCAAACTGCTTGAGCTACAAGAATCTTATTTGTATGTACATTATGTAAAGAAATATATGCATATTGTGTAAAGAATGTATAAATAATTGTATAAATGTAAATAAATTATGCATATAAATATATGCATGTGAATGTACAGTGGTGGCCAAAATCATTAGAACACTATTATTTTCAGCAGCTAAAACAATGGTTATATACTGTATATATATATATATAAATAAAATGGTTTTGGTATGGGGGGGGGGGTCTCGGGGGGCTCCCCAATAGACATTTTACTTAAATTTAAACAAAAACAGTGATTCTTTCATGATTACTTGATGAATAGAAATTTTAAAATAGCAGCATTTATTTATAAACAAAAGTCTTTTGCAACATTATAAATGTTTTACTGTCACTTTTATTCAGCAAAAATGCAACAAATTAATATTTTTACTTTTTTTTGTCAATCTTACAAAAACTTTAGAATGGCAGTGTATCATGGTTTCCTCAAAAATATGAATCAGCACAATAGTTTTTAACATTGATAATAATCAAAAATGTTTCTTGAGCAGCAAATCATCATATTAGAATGATTTCTGAAGGATCATGTGACACTGAAGACTGGAGTAATGATGCTGAAAATACAGCTTTGATCACAGAAATAAACATATATTCACATAGAAAACAGCTGTTTAAAACTGTAACAATATTTGACAATACTACTGTATTTACTGTATTTTCTAATCAAATAAATGCAGTCCTGGTGAGCAGAAGAGACCTCTGACCTGTAGTGTACTCTGTACCTCTCTAAATATTCTAGACTTCTCTTTCTTTGTTTCTTTTGATTTTGGCGTGAAATGTAACCTGTGCACGTTTACAGCATGCGGTATTTACCTTCTCAAAATACTTGATCTCATACTCCAGGATGATGCCGTTGGGTCGGTCGGGTCCCTGCCAGGACACCGAGATGCTATTCTTTGCCGTCTTGCCTTTCTTCACCATGGTTACAGGAGACGGAGCTGAGAACAAAACAGTTACATCTCACCTTACTTTTAACCTCAAATCAAGCAGAAAATGTATTTTCTTGCATGATGCAGTGAAGCCCTGATGCAATGTGCTGTAATTGTCTTTTTAAAGTTTCCAAGTCTATATACTTGAGACTTGTATTTGATAAGTATAACCCCTCAGCAATTCCTAATTAAATGAAGATATCATATTGTGCTAATTACTTGAATGAGTTTCATACTGTTCAGAGGAAAAGCAATTCAGAAATATGAAATATTCTAAACTTCAGTGGTAGAGACAATCAGAGAGAATGTCTTTCATCTTAACTAGCTGATCGCTTTGAGAAAACAATGACGTACTTCAATGTCTGTCCAACCTAATTATTGCAGATGAAAAATGCATGTTGTAATCTGTCCTGATTTACCTCCTTCCCATAAAGTCCCAGACATGACATCATTCAACAAGTATGAAATTATTTAATGGTTTATATAATTTGTCCATAAAACACTGATACTACTTAGAATAACTTTGTTAAATAGTCACGATGTTACATTCTAGTTTTACAATTCAAATGGAGTTTAAACTCTACGTGGCAAGAGTGGTTTTGCAATATTGAGTGTATATTGCTAAATAAAGCATTACACAGATTTCACTGGGTAAGAGTCATTTTTGTACCTTAAAATCACTATAAAGCATAACCTGAAGTGGCTATATATAATACATACTGTATATATGTGTGTGCGTGTGCAATACAATTTCATAATAAAAAAATAAACCTAAATTATAATTAAAAAAGTAAATAAATTACAAGTATTTTTCTATATATTTAAAAAGTACAATATGTTAATACTTTTTAAAAATACACATATTTAAAAAAAAAAATACATTAAAATAATAATAAAATATTATTTTGTGAAACGTTATTGCTAGTTACATTTATTAACATCAAATTATTTTTTTCAGCATTTATTTAATTGTAGGGTGTTTATGGATGCTAAAAAACAAACAAAAACAACTCTTTGAGACTAAACCCATAGTGTGTCTACTAAAAGGAAGTAAGCTTGAAGAAATGACACACAAGCAATGTATTACAAGAATAATATCATAAATATGGTCCAATGCGATACGTGCACTATATACCAAGTTATCTGATGCAAAAAAACAGCTTTGAGGAAAAATGTAAGGACCAAATTTACTGGATCAGTGAGAACCAGATCAGTCCAAATCGTATATGAATCATTCAGACTGCTTTTGTGAACTGGATCAACTTCATTAAAAAAAAACATCCAAACTAAAAGAACAAATTTGATTATTCTATATGCAAATCTCAGATACTTAGTGCTTTTGCATATATTTTGGCTGTTAAAATGAGGTATCATGCAAGTTGTTTAATTAAATTTTTTTTTTGCGTGTCTTATGCAATGATTCATATATACTGTGTGGCTACAGTGCAAATAATATCTGGGATATTATATATTATATACATTATATATATACATTATTATATACATTTGAGACAGACTTTATACTGTTTCTAGTTCCTGTTGCACTGTAGGGATTAGAAAATAAGAAAAGCTCATAAAACTTACATCCTGTATAGAATAAACACATAAAACCTATTGCAAACTAAAACTTTAAATTCAATTGTTGATTTTCCAAATTCTCTCTCTTTCGCTCCTCAGTTTTCCTCCCATTCGTCTGTGTTTGGTGTCATTATATGAGAGCACACATAAAAAATAAAATAAAAAAAATCCTCCTATCTGTCTATATGTGGAGCTTTGAAATCAAACCCGGCTTTATATTCCTCAACAGAAGTGTCGGACTGTGTCCACGAGATAAATTGTGTTTAAGTTCTCTGGACGATCCCTCAGGCGCTGATCCAATAGCTCAATAGAAGCCCATGATAGAAAAGCAAAGAAAAGCCTTTTTCCCCATCCTCTCTTCTTCCAAACAAAGAGTAACTGTATCCTTTTTGCTCAGACAAAACTGTAATCATTCCTATCTTAAAAGCCTGAAACGGTATACTTGGCAACCTGATCTTCAGGCCTGCAGGAGAAGAGAGGTATTGTGGAGGGTAGATGGGCCACTTAAACGGTCTGGCAGCCTGTTAAATGTTTGACTTTCAGTCAGGCGGGAGATGCGGCCCTTTGAGTTATTGATTCTCAATAATCCTTAGGGTCAGCACGGGGAATTTTGATCTATATTGGTGATGGCAAGAAACAAAAACATCCATCAAACAAAATAGTCATGCTGTGAGACAGTGAGTGAGAATATACAGTGGGTACGGAAAGTATTCAGACCCCCTTCAATTTTTCACTCTTTGTTATATTGCAGCCATTTGCTAAAATCATTTAAGTTATTTTTTTTTCCTCATTAATGTACACACAGCACCCCATATTGACAGAAAAACACAGAATCGTTGACATTTTTGCAGATTTATTAAAAAAGAAAAACTGAATTAGGAACCTTAAGTGCAGCAGAAATTTTTTTGTAACCTTGGCCAGATCTGTGCCTTGCCACAATTCTGTCTCTGAGCTCTTCAGGCAGTTCCTTTGACCTCATGATTCTCATTTGCTCTGACATGCACTGTGAGCTGTAAGGTCTTATATAGACAGGTGTGTGGCTTTCCTAATCAAGTCCAATCAGTATAATCAAACACAGCTGGACTCAAATGAAGGTGTAGAACCATCTCAAGGATGATCAGAAGAAATGGACAGCACCTGAGTTAAATATATGAGTGTCACAGCAAAGGGTCTGAATACTTAGGACCATGTGATATTTCAGTTTTTCTTTTTTAATAAATCTGCAAAAATGTCAACAATTCTGTGTTTTTCTGTCAATATGGGGTGCTGTGTGTACATTAATGAGAAAAAAAAATAACTTAAATGATTTTAGCAAATGGCTGCAATATAACAAAGAGTGAAAAATTTAAGGGGGTCTGAATACTTTCCGTACCCACTGTATATCCAAATACACGTAAACAGGTAGGCACATGCAAAATCATTGGCCACAGAATGTCCCATATACAGATTTACACAGAATCTGAATGCCTGTAATTCACACATCGCATGTTATATGTGTGTCTGTTTATTTTGAAGAATCACTGAGTTTTGATGATAATGTGGTCCTTAGGTGTGGCATGAATTTCTCTTTCAATGTAAGCCTATGGGATCTTTCTGCTGAAATTTAAAAGGGTAACACACCCAAAACTTAAAATTCTGTCAGCATTTGCTTATCCTCATGTCATGCAAACCCATATTCAGAATGAAGATATTTTTAATATTCATTTGTATCCATCCATTAAACGTCCACAACCAACATTTTTAAGCTTCAAAAAGAATCATAAAACATCATAAAAGCAACCCATATGAATTAAGCAATTTAATACAAAGAGACATATATGATGAAAAAATATCTATCTATCTATCTATCTATCTATCTATCTATCTATCTATCTATCTATCTATCTATCTATCTATCTATCTATCTATCTATCTATCTATCTATCTATCTATCTATCTATCTATCTATCTATCTATCTATCTATCTATCTATCTATCTATCTATCTATCTATCTAATCTAAGTTTGGAAAAAAGTGAGTAAATGATGACAGGATATTCATTTTTGCATGAAAATGAATATCATAATTTGTTTGTAAACAAACAAAATAAAAACAGTGGTTGCCAGAATTTTATAACAAATAAATAAATGTAGTTTGTAGATAGATTAAAGTAGTCAAACTACAGTCAATAAATAAATAAATAAATAAAATTGATTAATTAAAAATTACATTTTCAAAATGTATTAGTACATGTTGGAATTAATATTAACTATGAATAATTAATGCTTTAGAATAGTTTTACACTGTTAGTTCATGTTAACTAATGTAGTTAATTAATGTTAACTAAGGACGTTTATTGTAAAGTGTTAAATCTTTCTTAAAATATACTGAAATCCACCTTAACCCTCTGGGGTCTGAGGTGATTTTGGGGTCCTTGAGATGTTTTGACATGCCCCGACATGTGAGCTTATTGCAGCTACTTATAACATACTATTGGCCAACATGTCATTTTGGTGCTAAAGAGAAAGACATATGATGAATAAAAGTTAATTGCAAGTAGCTTTTCCACAAGTAGTCACACACACAAACACAAGACACCATCATGGTTACACAACTTTTTCACTTCCAAAAATATTTAATTTAACTGTATTTAACAGTGAAATTACATGAAATGTCCTATTAGATCTATTACAGTTTTTCAACATATAGAATATTTTGGCCTGATTTGATCATACTTTCAGTTACATGTAAGAGTAAACCCCATTTCACCATATATGAAAATCCATCTAATTCCACAGATATTCCCCTAAAATCAACACAGGAAATGTAAAAATGTGTGCCGATTTAGTGCAGACCTATATGACAGCACAAAAGCAGCGAAACCTTCCTCTGTGTGAAATTTCACAGTCCTATTTTTAGCTTAGTGAGAGATTTCATCTACCATGCTTCACAGAGTACATTGTGGACCATCTAAGAAGTGCGATAAATCTACATACTGTTTATTTTACAGCTTGAGTTTCCGGAAAAAAAAAAAAACAGTTTACAGTTGTAAAACAGTGAGTTATAAAACACAGTTAGCTATAAAATGCAAAGGTAATAAAGTCCTCGACAGACTTGTCACCAGTGACAGCTCACAGTGCAAAGGTCCCGCTCTCAGTTCATTAGCAGATGGAACGGCAGCATTCTCTGGGAAGCGTGTCAGAGGAAGTGTGATGATCGCACTCTGATTAATGCCTCCAAATGGGAAGTGTTGCCTTCATCTAGTGTGAGAATCTTCAAACTCGCAAAGGCTTGATATCTGCGCCAGCCGAAGAAACAGCATGAAATGTCACTACTTCCACACCGAAATCATGTAGCTAACTATTTTTGTCTTTTTTTTTTTTTTTACACAACCCGAGCCATTTTAGCTTAGTTAATCGCAGCTGTCAACAAGAATCCAGCTTAGCGTGAGC